TGTATATATATATATTATATGTATATATGTATATATATGTATATGTATATGTATATGTATATATATATTATATTATATTATATATATATATATATATATGTATATATATATTTATATTATGTATGTATATATATATATATATATATATATATATATATATATATATATATGTGTGTGTGTGTGGTGTGTGTGTGTGTGTGTGTGTGTGTGTGTGTGTGTGTGTGTGTGTGTGTGGTAACACACAACTACACACACACAAACATTTATATATGTATATATATATATATATATATATATATATATATATATATATATATATATGTGTGTGTGTGTGTGTGTGTGTGTGTGTGTGTGTGTGTGTGTTTGCGTATATATACATTATATATATATATATACATATATATATATATATATATATTATAATATATATATATATATATATATATATATATATATATATATGTATATATATATATACATATATATATATATATATATATATATATATATATATATATATATATATATATATATATATATATATATATATATATATATATATAATATATACGCGGACACATACACATTCATACGAACATGTATGGAGAGAGAGAGAGAGAGACAGACAGACAGACAGACAGACAGACAGACAGACAGAGAGGAGAGAGAAGAGAGACAGACAGAGACAGAGAGAGAGAGCCAGGCACCCAGACAGAAAGAGGGGGAGGAGATTGAATCTGCGTTCTAGTCAAATAATGAAATCATTCTCCTCCTTTCCGTGTTGTTTCTTTCTCGTCTCCCCGTCCTTCTCTTTCCTTCGCTTCCCTTCTCATAGCGCCTTTTCTGCCAACACTTTCATCTCCCTCGAACTTTACTTCCTTTCCTTTCTTCCATCTTTTACATCCATTCACTTCATCTTCTTTCCTCTGTGTCCTCGCTCTCCTGTCCCTCTCTGATTTTCGTAATACGTCCCGTTTATCTGCCCTTCCCCCGCTTCCCTCTTCCATACCTCTCTTCCTTCATTCTCCCTGTTTCCTTTACATCCTCCCCTCCTGTTCTCTCCATCGCTCTCACGTTTAATCCTCTTTTTGACTCTTTTTCCCTCCCGGGATCTTTCCTATCCCCTGCATATCTCCCCCTCTTTCCCTCTCCCCGCTTCCCTCTCCACACCCCGACGCGTCGCTCGGCTCCCCCCCCCCCCCTTCCTTTCCCTTTCAGTCTCTTTCTGTGTTTCTCCCCTCCGTATCACCCACATTCTCCTCTCCCTGAAACCGGACGCAGCCACGTATGCCTTACAAAGCTGTCCTCGCTCTCTCTCTCTCTCTCTCTCTCTCTCTCTCTCTCTCTCTCTCTCTCTCTCTCTCTCTCTCTCTCTCTCTCTCTCTCTCTCTCTCTCTCTCTCTCTCTCTAATACTCAATCAATCATTTACTTGCTCCTCAGTTATTCACACATTTTCGATGCGTTGGTTCCCTCCTTTGAGCGCCGAGTCATTCGTTCACACCCTGGCGCCTCCCTTCTTCAGGAAGTGTTGGAATGAGGTTGACTTGTGATGACTGGAGGCGCTCGGCGTCGTCGTCCCTCTCTCGCCCTCCTCTTCCTCCGCCTTCTTTTTCTTCTTTTGCTCCTTATTTTTTCTTTTTCATCTTCTTTTTTCTTCTTCTTCAGCTTCTCCGTCTTCTTTTTATTCTTCTTCTTTTTCTCCTCCTCCCCCTCCTCCCCTTTCCACTCCTTCCTCCACCTCCTCCTTCGTTATCTCTTTCTTCCATTTCTCCTCCATCTCCTCCTTTGTCATCTCTTCCTTCCATCTTCTCCTCCACCTCCTCCTTCGTCATCTCTTCCTTCCATCTTCTTCTCCATCTCCTCCTTCGTCATCTCCTTCTTCCATCTTCTCCTCCACCTCCTCCTTCGTCATCTCTTCCTTCCATCTTCTCCACCTCCTCCTTCGTCATCTCTTCCTTCCATCTTCTCCTCCACCTCCTCCTTCGTCATCTCTTCCTTCCATCATCTCGTCCATCCTCGACGCGGCGCCCGCATCACTCTTCCCTAAATCTCCTTCGTCTGGATCTCTATCTCTCGCGTGGCTTCCATTCTTCAGCCCTCCCTTCTGTCCCCTTCTCCCGCCTTGACTATCGAGCGTTATCTCTATTCCCTTTTGATTTCTATTCGATCCTATCTGGACTTGCTGTTGGCGTGGTTTTGTTTTATTCGTTTTATCCTTCGTTTTATCTCGCCCTTCTCCTGCCTCGTCGGATGCGTGGCAGCGGCCTCGTGAGCGTGCGGGAACAGGGTGGTTTGCCGCGGTCTCTCTCGTTTCCCCCGTTTCTCCTGTTTTCTTTTGATGGTCTCCGTGTTGCCTGTTCCACCACACCCATTACCCTTTCATTCTAAAAGCTCGAAGCCTTTTTCATCATTCCACTTAGCTGCCTCATCACCATTATCCGCCAGATCATTCTCATCGCGTTCTTCGCCCGCCTCATCTCCCTCATTATCCGCGCCATTTCCCTCATCGTCGGCCTCCCGCATGGCCCACTGACGCCACGCCGCGCCGCCTGCACCTGTAACACACCACTGCCCCCGCCCCCTCGTCATCACTCCCGCTGTCACCTGTCACCATCACCCTCTCCCAAGAGGATCACGAGGACACCCCCCCCCCTCTGTGGCCAAGCGCTGCGGACTTGCCCTCCCGGCGCCGGCGCCCCGCTTCCGCTCCCACGAGGCGCCTTAAAGGACTCGCTTGGAGGAGATACGTATACCAACCCAAGTCGATGTGTTCATGTGTATATATGCATATACATATACATATATATACTATGTTATCATATATATGTATATGTATATATATGTATATATATATATATATATATATATATATATATATATATATATATATATGTGTGTGTGTG